TCTCTGTCTCTCTCTCTCTCTCTCTCTCTCTCTCTCTCTCTCTCTCTCTCTCTCTCTCTCTCTCTCTCTCTCTCTCTCCCCCTCTCTCTCTCTCTCCCCCTCCCTCTCTCTCTCTCTCTCTCTCCCTCTCTCTCTCTCTCTTCTCTCTTTCTCTCTTCTTTTCTTTTATGGGCGGTATGTCTGGTATCTCGGCCTGGGCAATCGTGCACGGAGAGAAAACGAAAGCTCTGAAGTATGATAACGGACATGTCAAGTAAAGGTATATGCAAATTATTTGGTAACCAAGAGCAAAAGCCAAATGGGACACAAGTATGTATATATACATATATATGTATCGATTTAAGTATGGGATAAAGGTAAACAGAGCCCTGCGCCAAATAGAACATAAAGGTCCTTGCCACTTAGGGTTTTAGGGTTTAGGGTTAAGGGTTTAGGGTTGCTGAGAATCCACACGGACACCCCCGGCATGGCCAGGCCCGACGGAGGATGACTGTGTCTCCGGCACTAAACCCCTCAGCCCTTCTTGACATCTGGTTATTTCCCTAAATAGTGGTACCCCTCTGATACCCCAAATAGGATCGAATCCCCTTAAAGGGACAAACACAAGTTCTGCCAACCCCCAAATCCTGGCAACCCTTCGTCCTTAACATCTCGATCCGAAGCTGCCGAAGCCCCTGCAACTGGCACGTCCCTGGATCCAAACGCTCGAACCCTCCTCCCTAAAACTTAAACTAGAGAAGGCCTGGCGCATGGAGCACGACAACTCGGCGAAATGGGATCCGAGGCAAGAGACTGCAATTTGCCCTGGCGTCCCCTGGGCCGTACACCCTACACCTCAAAACACCCTCTAAATTCCCGAGCCCGAACTTATGTAGGGTTCCTCATGTGTCCGGGAATGTTCGGGGGGGGGAGGGGGGGGGTGTGGGAAACCGCGTTGCCTGCCAACCCCACAAAGAGATGAGCCGCCAGGAACCGCGCAAAGACGCGAAGTCCGGAGGCCGTGTGCTGGGGGGTTTACTTGGAGGTTCACAGTTATATGGGGGTTTTACGATATTGGGGGTACCTTATTGGGGTCCTTGTTGTCAGGGAATCCTGTACTATTTGGGGTTTTTTTAGGGGTCCCGTGTTTTCGGAAACCCCCCATATGTCTCCTCATAGCCTACTTAGAGGAATCAGGCCGCTTATAAGGTGCTGTTCTGATTGGCGGTACAAGTACCCTGAACCTCCAAGTAGGGTTTAGGGCCATGTACCTACGTGTAAGGGTTGAGGGTTATAGGATGCAGAGGCTTTGCGTTTTTGGGGTTAAGGGGTTGAGGGGTGAAGGGTATGGGCTAAGAGGGGTTTCGGGGTTTAGTTGTTTAGGGGTTTCGGGGTTTAACTGACGCAAAAGGTAATTATAGCATATGGATGTCGGTTTCCCGGTTAGCCTCCGGCCCTTTCCAAGATTATGAGGGGCTTCATCAAGACAAGACTGAGGCAGAAGCTCTGCAACACCACGTCAGCCCTGCGTACCTGCATGAGAGCAAGCCGGTACCCTACCAAAAGCCCCTATTCCCCATAATCAGGGAAAAGGAAACCCTAAGCCCTTGCTTCAAGCCTCCCAACTTCTCAACTAGCTTCCCAACCCGAAGCTTCGAATAGCCCCAAGCGGAGATCCTAAGACCCCCCCCCCCGCCCCCACCGAGACCTAAAACCCTAAACCCTCAACCCTAAAGAGCCCTAAACCCTCTAGAATTTCTAAGCCCTGCAGAGCCCTAAACCCTATGGAGCCCTAAACCCTACGAATCACAAAGCTAACCCAAGACCCTCATCAACGCCTCAATCCACGACCCTTGAACCACAGCTTCGAGGAGGAACCTGCCTTGGCTCTGAGTGGTGAAATTCGGGGTGTAGGGTTTAGGGTTTAGGTTTAGGGTTTAGGGTTTAGGGTTTAGGGTTTAGGGTTTAGGGTTTAGGGTTTAGGGTTTAGGGTTTTTTGGTTCAGGGCCCTCAGATTCGCCTGCAGTAGAACACTGTAAAAGGGATTGGATAGGTAGGCCTAAGATTCCCCAGTTTCCTTCGGAGAAGTCGTACGCCTGAGGAGGCGGAGCGAATTCTGCGGCTCTCTGGAAGGCGGTGCTGCCGGAGCTGGGTTCCTGCGTCGCGGGGTCGAGAGCCCCGAAGCCACAGCCCTTGGGTTTAGGGTTCAGGGTTCCGGGTTCAGGGTAGTTTCAGGGTTTAGGGTTCAGGGTTTGGGGTTCGGGGTTCTAGATCTATAGTCGTTAATTCAGACCAGTTTTAACAAGAACGGGCCACCCTGTCTACGCGGCAGGCTCTGCCGACCCATTCGGCTAAGTGATGTGAGGAAAGGCCCGCCACTGAGGCGCTCCCCTCACAATGCGGGGAGGGGGAGGGGGTGTGGATTAGGGAACTTAGGATTGGGGGTTTGGGGTTAGGGTTCAGATTTCAGGGTTTGCAGGAGTTAGGGCTCAGGGCTTGGGATGAGGGTGGTTTTCCAGACGATTCGGGGAAGGGCTGTGGAACTTTGGGAATGGGACCCTCGGCCCTAGAGCCTAGAATTCTGCAGGGCTTTCTTGCCGGAATAGATTCAGGTTGAGAGCGTGAGGCAAACATCCTCATGTTTTTTTGCAGGGGCACACCTCCGCTTGGTTTTCCAGCTCGATTATACACTTGGGACTGGGCCTGTCCCCCCACGAGCCCTGAGACCGGAACCGTTTAAGTCTTCGTCATGCAGGAAGACCATTGTGGCCAACGCCAAGGCCGGTGAACCGCCTGATCGGGATTCGCCGGGTCGACTTTGTGAAGTGAATCGCCCCTAATTCACGTGATGTGATTGAGGTCATAAGGTTGAATGGAGAGCGAGGACGGGTGCGTGGAGTTTCAAAGTTCTGGGGGCAAAGTAGCCATAAAAATTGGCTCATCTGCCCTACACTACTGCAGTTCCTATGAAGGTATATGAACCACAAACCCTTTTAGGGTTCATGTGATCCTTCAGGAGGTGATAGGTTTCTGTGGTGAGTCGCCATGCATTGCTAGTATTTCCCGCCGCTAGGACTTTGCTGCTCACCCCGTTGTGCAGGGACAGTGAGGCTCGCATCTGAACCCCATGAAACAAGGGTTCCCTGTTATTACTGTTTAGGGGACCCCTAAGCCCTAAACCCTAAGCCCCTAAGCCCCTAAGCCCCTAAGCCCCTAAGCCCCTAAGCCCCTAAGCCCCTAAGCCCCTAAGCCCCTAAGCCCTAAGCCCTAAGCCCTATGCCCTAAGCCCTAAACCCCATTCCTCCCAAAACCGGCAGCACCCCAAAGACAGGAACGGCGAGCGGCCGCAGAGATGTGTGAGATCTACTCGGTGAGCAAGTGTCCCTGGCTTCGTATTGTTGAATCGCACAACCGCAACCCCTAGAATGTCCCGACTCCTAGAACAAGAAGCCCAAGAAATCTCTGATAACACAAGCCCGCGAATCCCTGGCCCGAATCTGTGACGAAGCAGGCGACAGATTTCCCGGGTTTTGGGCCCGTTGTTGTAGGAACCTACAGCCTACCTTTGCGGGCTTAGTGTTTCTGGATCCCTCAGTCTTGACCCTGAATCCTAGAAACTGCAAACCCATCCCCAAATGCCAGCACCTGGCAGGCTGCAAGCGCGATTGCTCCTCAACCGCGAGAACCATCCAGGACTGCGCAGGGGAATTAGGGCTAAGAGTGTTTATGGGGTTAGGGGCTCAGGGTTCAGATTCCCTAGGCCCATGGGCATCACCTGCACAAGACAGGAACAAAAGCAATATTGCAAATGATACGTGCACCCTTTCTTGGGCGTTTCCTCCATCGTCGCCTTCCTAAGGGCGGGAGTTGCAACTTCTTCTACCCTCTTAAGGGTGTAGTTGTAAATTTGGGTAGCCTGTGGGGAGCTGAATATATTCAGTTCTTCAGCCTTTCAATCGGTTTAGGCCTGGGCCCCTACACCCTAAACTTGTGATGTTCCCCCTTGTACGTATACTTACTAGCAGCCCTTAGTCGGGATTATCATGGGGGCGGGGGTACTTGAATCCCCATTAAGGACTGTTGGTATAAGGGAAACCATCCCAACCCTAAACCCTCAAGCCGCAGTCTGGGGCCATGAGCGCATCATGGTCTACGGCAAGATGATCTCAGAGTACCTGGTGCCGGATGTCTATGCGAACGAGCCCATCGAGGCGTGTGTATAGGGGCGCGGGGGGGGGGGGGAAGAGCCCTGCACTTGTGGGCAGAGAACCCTAAACCCTAAACCCAAAACCGCAAAACCCTAAATCCTAAGCCCTAAGCCCTAAGCCCTAAGCCCTAAGCCCTAAACCCTAAACCCTAGTCCCCGAGGCCACGTCCCAACTCCTGGAGCGTCACAAGAGAGCTCAAGCTCAAGTCTCGCTCAGATGTCCGTCCCGCTCAAGTTCCGGGCTGCTTTTCGAGAAGATGCGGCCGGAACCCCAGGTTTCAGAAGCCTTTGCCCCCCCCCCCCCCCCCCGGTTTTTTCGTGTTCTTCAATTTGCTTGTATTCTTGTTTAAGAAGCCTTTTTTTCTTTGAAATTTTCGCTTCAGTGCAAAGTTGTTCATGTCGCGTGGTTGCTCCGGGGTTGTCGATGGATCCAAAGACTCCCCAAATCACAGGGTTTAGGGTTTCGGGTTTAGGTTTAAACAAAAGCCGCCGCGGCGACAAGTTAAGTTGAGACTCGCCTGGGGTTAATAAGGGTGTGGGCATAAAGAGGTGTACGGGCTTGGCACGATGGCTACCTGGCGTAACTATGTACCTTCACAAAGTGCGCCCTCAACGGACCGTGCAAACTGCGGAAGCCGAGTGCGGTTCGAGAGCGAACCTGAAACCACACATGGCGCGCTTGGAGTAGCCGAGGCCTCTAAAGGGTTTGGGTTTTAAGGCTTTCCTGTTCACTCCTTCATCTCAACCCTGAACCCTTGGGAAGCTCCCTCATAAGCCCTTTAGACTGAAGCCGGAAGTTCGTCCGCCCGGAGCCATGGCTCTGAAAGCAGCGGTGGCCGCTGCCATCCTCGCCTTTGCGGCTGCCAAGCCACCGGTCTGCAACAGAGATTCGGGTCTCGCCACACACACCGTCACACGGGGCTCTTTTTTTGGAATTGCGAGCCGGCACAAGTTGGGGAGCACCTTTTTGAGGGAAGACTTCGTGTGAAGTTGTACAGAACTTCGGAATGCTGGAGGACTGCGCGCCTTGACATGTCGGCAACTTCGCCTAGCTGGAGTTGGAGGATATGGATGGGCGGGAGCAGGGGCGATGAGTCCAACAGCCAAACGCATGACTTCAATCCCGAAGCCCAAGGGTTGCTACGATCCAAACCCTGCGGTAGGTTTGGGGGGGTTGAGAACGCTTTGATGTACTGAGTTAGCCAGCGCCAGCCTGCTTCGGGTGTAGGGCAGGGTTCAATTTAGGGTCATGTCTAGTCCCATGCTCCTTCAGGATGTGAAACCATGGCTTATTTTTAAGCTAGCAGCCCCAGAATGTGTTAAGAACTCCAGAGTTGTTATATATGGCACCAAAGGAGAGTGTAAACCCTTAAGTAAACCCTAAACCTTAAACCCCAAACCCCAAACCCCGAACCCTAAACCCTAAACCCTAAACCCTAAACCCTAAACCCTAAACCCTAAACCCTACCGCCAGCTTTGGAGCCGAGGACCCGCCGAAGCAACTCGCCGGTGTCGGTGCAGCTCTTTGGCGAGTCGGGCTGCCCCGACACCACGGCCTTCATCGCCGGCCCGCTTGCTGAAGCTGAGCAGGCAGGAGCTGAGTACGGGAGCCTAAGGGGCGTGTGTAGAATCTACATACATATGTACATATGTATTATATATATATATATGTATTTATTTGTTGATTATCTACAAGTATGTATATACATATTTTCGAAACATTGCTAGCATGATCTCCTTGTAATCTATGACATGCGCCGAAATAGAGGTGGCTTGAGCATTGTAGAAGTTACCGGCGACCTGTCAAGGCGGCCGGCGTTGCAGAAATTATGCGAAGCATGGCCGCACCTATGGCCAGTTTCGGAGGCCGATGCGATGTTTTTCATCTAAGGCCCCCTTTTGCAGCTAGAGGCTTTTGAGGCTGTGTTTGCCCCTGCGTGTTGGATTTTGCCTCCGACTCAGCTCCTGCTGTCGGGGCCCCACGTGTGCACACGCACATGCACACGCACACGCACACGCACACGCGCACGCACACGCACACGCACACGCACCCCCCTTCCCCCCGGCCACCCCGCCCTACCAACCTTTGCAACTGGAGCCTCTTGGCCTTCAATTCAACAGAAGCATGGGACGGGCATTGCAGGCACAACCTGGAACTAGGTAGATCAAGCTTATGGCCCTGAAGTCTTCGCTTAGAGTCTTCAAACCCGCAGCGTGACCCTCAACACGAAATTCTCCAACGCCCCTAAACCCGAAACCCTAAACCCTAAACCCTAAACTGGCCCTAAACCCTAAACCCCCATGAGGCCCTGAAGTTCTGAGGCTTGGACTGGACCCCCTTTGGCAATGCCTACTTCCTCACGGCGGAGTGTGGAGGAGTGCCCTCTCCTCCAGGCCTGTGAAGGGTTTAGGGTTTAGGGTTTAGGGTTTAGGGTTTAGGGTTTAGGGTTTAGGGTTTAGGGTTTAGGGTTTAGGGTTTAGGGTTTAGGGTTAGGGTTTAGGGTTTAGGGTTTAGGCTTTAGGGTTTAGGGTTTAGGGTTTGGCCCCGCCAGAGGGGGCCCTTAAAGTGCGAGAGAAGCGCCTTAAAGATAATGCAGGTTCCGTGAGTATTCCCCCCCCCAACTCTCAAGATCAACATGTTCTGGGGGGCTGAAGATCAACATGTTCTGGGGGGCTGACCTTGAGGGCCCCCCCCCCCCCCCCCCGAATAACTTTAGGGTCTGGGTCGTCGTGCATAGTAGTGGTAAATGGTTGGCCGACGCGCTTTAATTTCACTGGTTGCTTGTTCCCCAGGGCGGGAAGGGGGGGGGGTCAAAAGAGTCATTCAGATTGCACCCGCATTTGCAGCGTTATCGCCTCTTTGTACAACATAATGCGCAAGGATGTGGAACAAGACACGTTATCACAAGCATCCATGCCTGTCACGAGCATGCCCACAACATTGGTATTTGCAGCGTTACTGCCTCTTTGTACACCATACTGCACCGGTTCATTGACACAGAGCCACATTGGGATGCTGAGCCCCTACACCTTAACCTGGCACCCCAAGCGCCCCCCCAAATCCCTACCCACCCCTCCCCCGAATTCCCGAACATCCCGAAGCTGCCCCTAAGAGGTCCCAAAGAATCCCCTAGCGTCGCTACCGCCACTATGCTTCAGCTTTGAGGGGGCTTGGTGCCTCTTCAGTTCGAGGCTCTTGGAACTTAGCCCTTCTCGACCCAGACCCCGGCTTCGGAAGACCTAGGTGCAACAAAGTTTAGGGTTTAGGGTTTAGGGTTTAGGGTTTAGGGTTTAAGGAACCCTGAGATAAGAAGTTCGAAGAAGGATGCGGAGACAGCTCCAGCTGCCTCTACAACGCCACGGTGCGGGCGCCTGGGCTGGGAACTTTCGGGTTGGCTTAAAAACCCTATAAACCCTATAAACCCTATAAACCCTATAAACCCTATAAACCCTATAAACCCTATAAACCCTATAAACCCTATAAACCCTATAAACCCTATAAACCCTAAGCCCTAAAAAAAGTTTAGAGCTTTAGGGTTTTGAGGGCATTCTGGGCTCTTCATCGGGTTTAGGGTTTAAGGACTCTAAAACCCTAAGCCCTTACTTGCCCTCACCCTTTCTAGCATCCACCCAGATCAGGATGGGGAGGCTGCGTTTTTTCCTGTTCCTGAAGATCAGCCCAGGAGTGCTTCCTGAAGCACTGTGGCCTGGGAGGCCCGACCAGTTCTGAGGGTTTTGGGCTTTGTTTTGAGGGCTTTAGGGCTTTAGGGGGTTTTGGGCGTTTTGTGTTTAAGTGGCCTTCGGGGCTTAAGAGGTTAATGGGCTTTGCTGTTTAGGCATTAAAGTTCGACTTCTAGAAATGCCTTGGCACCCATAACCATTCAGCCCCTCTTCGCTTCAGGCGTCCATGAATCAAAAGATCCTTCAAGTATCCTCAAGCCCTCAGCAGAAGGCCACGCAACCCCCAAAAAAACAGAGGACCGCACGCCGCCCAAAAGTTGCAAACCGAGATTTTAGGATGTAGGGCCCCAACCCCTAAAATCCCACATCCCAGAACCGCCAAGTTGTAAACCCAAGCCCTAGAAAGCCTACAAGCCCCTAAGCACAGAATGAAGACATTCTACAACGTCACAATCCCCATACTGCACCTCTTGTTACCCTAAACCCTAAACCCTAAACCCTAGACCCTAAACCCTAAACCCTAAACCCTAAACCCTAAGCCCTAAGCCCTAAGCCCTAAGCCCCTTTCCACCGACTACGAGCGCTGAATCACATCAGCGCATTGGGTGCGAAAGGCGATCCGTTTCCCGACTGCTACTCTCCCGGCCACGTGCGCTGCCAGCATGGCCACGTCGAGTGCTTGGCCAACAAGATCGAGGCGCATCATTTAGGGTTTAGGGTTTAGGGTGTAGGGTTTAGGGTTTAGGGTTTAGGGTGTAGGGTTTAGGGTTTAGGGTTTAGGGTGTAGGGTTAGGGTTTGGGGGGATTTCCGGCAACAAGCCCGAAACCCTAAACTTGACTGGATGTTTAAGTGCCCCCTAACCATGATCTGCCTAGCAGATGTTAGTAAGCAGCCTGACCAAGATGGGGGGCGCTCCCCTCATGTACCTCAAATATAGTCTACTCCCCTTTGTAGGGACCCCATCCCCGGCACCCCTCCCCCCCCCCACCCCCCAAGAAAGAAGAAAAACAAACAAGAAACACAATAAGAATAAAGTAGGTCCTCGACCGTAAGCCCTAAACCCTCAAACCTAAACCCTAAACCCTAAACCCTGGCCCCCCAGCCCGCCGAAGGCCTGCGCCAAGGTGAAGGATCCGCACAGCACCCTGGCAAAGGGATGGGTTTAGGGTTTAGGGTGTAGGGAACAAAGAAGCTGGGGAGGTTAGCCTTGCTTTAGGGTGTGTAGGTTTTTGTGTCAGGGACTTCGGGGTTTACAGGTTTTTGCTTACCAGTGCTTTAGGGTCTAGCTCTATCGGTCACGTTTAGGGTTTTGGTTTTGGTGTCAGATTGAGTTCTATATCAGGCTGGTAATCGTAGTCCGCTGCCCCCCGCCCGCTACTCTTGAAATAGGGATCTTAAGAACACCACTAGGTCCAGTGAAAACATATATTCAGGGCCACTGCGGTTTGTTGATAATATTGGATTTCGCGTTCCGGCTCGGTCTAGTAGGCTCCTTAGCTCCTCGCAGCCGCAAAACCCACGCCTGGTTTATGTCATGATGGCCAGCTCCCCTCCCCTTGCGACCAATTTTCTCTTGCAGGTCACGACATGGCACTTCTACTGCCGCAGTCTTTCCACCCTCTGCTTCTAGACAAGGTTCCCTTTAATTATAAGCCCTGAACCTGAGACTTACCGCAAGGTTATTGGCCCATCTCACGATGCATGGAGCTGGCCTTCTACCACGGGAAGCTTGCGACTGGGAAGTCCACGGACGCCGAAGTGCATGATGCTGCTTGCCTGGGATGTTTGCGATGTAAGGGGATGAGGGCTTTTGGCATTTAAGGGCCTGGAGCCAGGTTCTGAACTCTCTCCACCTGAAAAAAGACCGAAGGCCTTTAGCTATGAATCCTAACTACCAACCTTAAGTTTGCATATGCCTAAGCCCCAAGCCAAGGGCAAGCCTTAAACCATGAACCCTCTGACCCTACAGTGGCTGAGCGAAATCCTGCATGACCTCGGCAGCCACCCCCTTGCTTTCATGTGCGAACTCCGTCTGACTTCTCCCTTCCCCCCCCCCCCCCCATCTCAGTGTGGTTTATGGGGCCGGGTCATGCAGAACTTCTATGACTCGAGCGTACAGCCTTTGCCGCTCCTGCAGATACGACATTAGTTGCAGGGAGAGGCAACTGCAACGACAAATCGATGCAGAAATGTTTCGTATGAACAGCACCTGGAGCCGAAACAGGCGATGGATGACGTAGGGTACGGTAAGGTGGCTGCGAGCTGCGGGATCACCAGCGAGACCTTCGCTTTCTGCGAGTCGCACGGCCATGATGCAGTCGTGGCCATGGCCAATTCCACGCCGCCCCACCCAGGCAGGGTTTCGTCGTAGGTGCCGTCAGATATAGATACATATATTTATAATATAGTATATTATGTTCTATAATATCATGTATGTACAAATTTTATTTAGAGGCTTTCTTGCAACCATGTCTGATCGCCTGAGGGTCGGGCAGTGGCGCATGGCAGGCGTCCCGTACGTGTTGGTGAACGGCGTGGCTTTGTCTGAGACGAAGGACTTCCTGAAGAAGGTCTGCGAGGCTTACGAAGGAGACTGCCCCTACATAGGTTCAGTAACAAAACAGCACTACAGAGGGGTTTAGGGTTTAGGGTTTAGGGTTTAGGGTTTAGGGTTTAGGGCACGTGCACTTCTTTTGCTTTTGTGCTTTTGGCAGGAGAGCAGCCGGCCGGCTGCCAAAACAAGGCAGCCTCAATGCTCCTGTAGTCGGCGATGTGCTCTGCAATTGAAGGGATCCCCATGCATTTTCTTGAAGGTTAGATGTACTGTAGACGACGCTTGGTCATGCATGTAAGGCAAGAAAAGAGCCCCAAAGGCGAGAAGGGCCTTTCGGGCCCGCCCCACATGATCGACAAATCGCAGAGAATCAACACATGCGGCTACTATAGGCTGAAGGGGTCGGAAGAATTGCTAATCGTATTCCCTTCTGTCCCTTCGTAACTATAGTATAATACCCTAAACCCTAAACCCTGAATCCTAAACCCTAAACCCTAAACCCTATATTATGCAGCTCGAGGCTGCACAGTGACTGCAGAGGGGGTTCTGCGTTTGGCCGTTTCACCTCGGCAGTTCAGACTGCTGCGCGAACAAAAATGCTGAGAGCTCGATGCCTCCACTTACGCATCTGCGCCCCCAGGGTTTAGGGTTTGGGGTTTGGGGTTTGGGTTTAGGGCTCAGGGGTTTGGAGTTTGGGGTTTGGGTTAAGGTTTGGGGCCATGTGGTGAAGCGTTCGTGCCACGAGCGTTGCACATGCACGCACATGCGTACGTGTGCATACTGAATATATATATATATATATATGTAATGATTGTTGTTTCTCATTGGTACACTGGGACTTTTGTTTTTTGGCTCTATGTTCTCAATCATGGTCACGGTTCGTAGACTGAGTCTCAACAGTAGCCTGGAAGGCATCCGTTCGGGCTGTAAGGTAGTAGGTATGGGCAACGCGGCATGCATCGTGGAACAATAGTCATGTCCGATAGTAAGGTTCCTTCAGCTTTCATCATTCTGGGAAGACCAGACCCTCAACCTCCTTTGCCGAGGATCCATACCACCCGACCGGCGAAGCAGCCTGGAACAGGGAGCTGGAAAGGCACGATGTTCTTATCTTTGTACGGGTCTTGACACCAAATTTGGGCTTGTACATGCATAGGCCACATCTGCATGAGGGTAGTTCTCGAAATTGGGATCCGCTTCAAGGGTCCCTTATTTCAAGGGTGCCGTACCTGAAGATAGGACCCAAAAAGGGAGCCTAATGTAGAGAACCTCCACATACCCTTGTGCCTGTAGCCTGGGCGGGATGGAAGCCACCTGCAGGCTCTGGGGGGCACTTGAGCCTGAGCTTGAAAAAGCTCCCCGAGCTCCGCAAACCCCCTCAGCCCTAAATCCCTAAGCCCCTAAACCCAACACCCCAGACCCTGAACCCTAAGCCCTTAAACCACCACACTTAGATCTGGGGGGTCGGAGGGCAGGACCCCAGACCCTAAACCCGAAGCCCTTAAACCGCTACACTTAACTTATGGGAGTTGGAGGGCCTCAGGGGGCTGCCAGGAGGGGACTAAAGTCGGAGATCGGCGAGGGCAAGGTCATCGAGGAGCTGCTGAGGAGCCTTTGCCTGCGGGCAAAAAACTTTGGGACCTCTTTCAGAGAATGATGGGGGTTTATGGTTTCGGTTTTAAGGGTTAAGGGTTTAGGGTTTAGGGTTTAGGGTTTAGGGTTACTACTTGGGTAGTTTCTCTAATTAGGGTCCCGTTCTTGGATCCCTTTGTAAAGGATGCCGCCTTATAATGGGTACTCGAAAAGGTCTTTACATACCACTTGCTTGTTAGCCCAGCGGTACCCTTTACCCTTTCTTTTTTGGGTTTCTGGGTTCCCATATGAAGCAGGGTATAAATTTCTGTTTTTGGTGAGTGTATATAAGGTTCCTTTTTAAAATTGGTGAGAGTATATATTTGGTGTCCTTTTGGGGGTACAAGAAATATAAACCCTACTTCATATAAAGTAACAAGCCAATTTCCTCAAGAATCTTGAAAACAAAATCAACAATAGTCCCTATACTACCCTTGCAGGGAAGAGTATTCTTAGTTTTTTTTTTTTTTGGGGGGGGGGGGAGGGTTCTTCAGCAAACTGTAATACAATGCTGCTACTGCATATGGTTAGTTGGACCCTTCAAAGAACTACCCACTACATGATTGTTAGCTCCATTTAGATGTATTGTGCTTGCCCCCTTGAGCGCATAATAGTTGATTTTCTTGAAGCTCTGAATATAGGATACGATAACGACTATGATGATTGCTGCGATAATGCTTGAAAAGCTAGACATACATGCGGTAGGGCTTATGTGGCCGTGATTGATGAGTGTGTTTACATGTATATATATATATATGTATGTATATGTACATATATATATATATATGTACATATACATACATATATATATATATAGATATATTCATGTATGGCTCCTTCTTGATATTTTCCCTAAGCTACCAGAGAACTATGACACCGGCTAGACTTGGATATGAACCATGGCCACAGCTTTGGCAATAAAGTGCTTTTGCCATTTTCAGTGCCGCTTCAAGTTTTGTCATGTCAAGGTTTCATTCCATTCTCATGATCCGGATAGCTCGAACCTCCCTCTCCCTCTCCCTCTCCCTCTCTCTTTCTCCTTCTCCGTTTTCACTTTCTCCCCGACCTGCCCGCAATTTCACGAATGAAATTCGATGAAAAAGGCTCCTGTGCCCGAAGTCCGAACTCGGAGGAGGGAAGGGGATGCCAAGCTGGACGCGCTGAGCTCAGGCTTCCAAACACCCGCCGACAGCCGAAGAGCATTATAGCGTTTTGGGTTTAGGGTTAGACCCTATGAGTTGAGTTGCAAGCTCATGACTCATGTCTGAGGTGGCCGAGAACATGTTCACTGAGGCTGGTGCAGCTTCGACTCCCCTAAGTTAAGGGGATCCAAGCCTAGGGAATGGCGGGTATGGCTTCTTGCGCGGTGCAAACTTTACGGCCTGCCCTTGGCCACGAAGCCTCCGGCGTTTTTGCCGGAGCTCGGGGCCCTGAGAGCCGGTTTAGGGTTTAGGGTTTAGGGTTTAGGGTTTAGGGTTTAGGGTTTAGGGTTTAGGGTTTAGGGTTTAGGGTGTCGGAGGCCATCCTGGACAACGTCGTAGACCTGGGCGAGCTAGTGCTGCAGTTCTACGCGCTGTATGTCGAGAGGCCTGTTCACAGTGCAGGGACTGCCATGTTGTTTTTGGATTCCATGGCCGTGAGCGCTCCACTAAACCATCTTGAACTTTGAACGCCGCCTTGACCCAGAAGTTTGCTTCAGGGGGCTGTCAAAATTTTGCATCTTTGCTGGCTTTGCCAGAGCCTCACTTTCCCCTAAGTCCCTAAACCCTCAACGCCCTGTAGACTTTGGAGTGCCGAATTTCAGGTGTTGAGGCCTCTGGGCTTCGAATTTCCGCGCAGTGTCCGCAGGCAGCCTGTCAATCCAGATGCCGACAACCTCAAGGTACCCAGGTGGGATCCGTGGGTTTAGGGTTTAGGGTAAAGGGTTTAGGGTGAAGGGTTTCGGGTTTAGGGTTCAGGGTGCAGGGTGCAGGGTTTAGGGATTGGGATTTCAGGGGAGCTTGTCCGGCATGCTGCAGTATGGGCAGTTAGTTCTCTCGATGAGGGTCCCATTTAGGGGTGCCGGATGAGAGCTCGTATGAGAGAAGGCCGCAGCTCTGAGTGGGGGGCTTTTATCTGCACCTCGATTGTGTGCCTTTGCTTGGAGGTTCATGGGTACTTGTGGCCCAAGTAACAAGTCTGCGTATGTCCTACTTAGAGGACTTAGGGGGCTGATAAGTGCAGTTATATAATTGGGGGTTGCAAGAGCCCTGAACCTCCAAGTACAGAAAGGTCAGATGCAGGCTCCTTTCCTTTAGTATTCCGTTAGGTGACACGCGGAGCATCTTTTGTAGCAGCACTGGCATGCAACTCTGTGATGACAGGCGGCTGCGCAAGCGCATGAAGAAGGCAGTTTAGGGTCTAGGGTTTAGGGTTTAGGGTTCAGGGTTGAGAGAGGGAGGCCTTCGTGTTTGTCGGGCCAGGTTGGGGGGTGTTCGGGCAGGCTCGCATGCATCGGGTCTCAAACCCTGCCGTGCCAACAAACTCCCCCACCAGCCCTCCAGGCCCTCAAATCCCTGAAAAACGAACCAAAAACTCCCTAAACCCTAAAAACCCCTAAAAAGTTGCAGCCCCAGCTAAACCCTAAACCCTGGAAACCCTAAACCCCAGACCCTAAACCCTGGAAACCCTTCGGCAGCCCCTGGAGCCTAAAGCCCCAGCAGCCATGGGGTCGCAGGACTATGGCATCGATGCCGGCTTTGAGATGAAGGCGGGGTGGGGGTTTTTGGGGGAGCCCGAGAAGCCCCGAATGCTTTTTGAGGTACCCTCTGAAGCTTAGGGCTTAGGGGTTAGGGTTTAGGGCATCGTCAACCTAGGAGACGATGCAGCGCAGACGCATGGTTTAGGGTGGGGTGTCTGGGGTTCAGGGTTTCGCATGGCTTATTGTGCATGGGGCTCAGGGAGGTTTAGGGTTTAGGGTTTAGGGTTTAGGGTTTAGGGTTTAGGGTTTAGGGTTTAGGGTTTAGGGTTTAGGGTTTAGGGTTTAGGGCTTTTGCAGAAGCGCCTTGGGCTTGCCCTGAACCCTATAACCCCTAAAGCTTCCGTTCTGTGTAAGGGTGTCTCGGCTTCTCATCGGGCGGAGGGCGAGTCCCGTGTAATACTCGGCCTTTAAGACTTTAAGGTTTCGTGCTTAGCCTTTCGGGTTGCAAGGAAAAGGCTGACAAACCTGGCGCGTCACTGAGAGTCATTGATTGTTTAGGGCTGAGAGTCATTGTTTAGGGTAGCTGAAGTGCTGGCCCGGATGTTTGAGGCCTAGCAGGATCTCGACCCAAAGCTGCCAGACCACCCTAGATTCCCATAACCCGCAAATGCTGTAACCCTATGTTTACTCTCAGCCAACAACCCACAAGCACAAGCCCTTTAAGACCCATGCCTTCGGGCTCGGAGCATGAGCCTGTAGAATCCTTAAGCTCCTAAGGCACTTAACCCCTAGCACCCTTAAGCTCCTAAGCCCCCTAGACCCCAGAGCCCCAAAATTCGTAGCCAACTCTTCCGACTGCGTCACGAGGATGAGCTCCCCTCCTCGAAGGATAAGCCCAGCGCGCAGGCCTTGCAGAATTTCTTGGGGGCTTTCGCGGGCGTTTAAGGGGTTTCAGGGGCCCGGCTATCGGGGTGTGTAGGGAAGATGGCCCTGAAAGAGCCCCTGGACCCTTTGCGCGGGAAAATGGTAGGTTGGACTCCCAACCTGCCCAGAAGAGCTCGGATTCCCGAGATGCCCCTTTATTAGGGGCAAGGGGTTGAAGGTTTACACACCTAACCCTAAACCCTAAACCCTAAACCCTAAACCCTAAGCCCTAAGCCCTGAGCCCTGAGCCCCAAGCCCTGAGCCCTGAGCCCTGAGCCCCAAGCCAAAAAAGCGCCCTGTACAACAGGAGATCCAGGACTTCGCCGGCAGCCTAAGCGCGATGAAGACGCGGGGTCCTGAGTTTAGGATTTAGGGTTTGGGGTTTGAGTGCGCTTTGGTATATCATAGGGTGGTCCTAACATGGGGTCGGGTTTAGGCAACATTTTGGGCGCGTGTCTCATCAGAATAAGGATTGTCCTATTTTGGCGTATATTCTGGCGACTCATGCGCCCCTTCGAGGCGTTTGCGAGCTGAGGTTGCGCCTAGGGGTTTGAGGCTTCCAGGGCTCTTGCGGTCGATGTTTGGGGGTCTCTCCATAGGGCCCTGAGCTGATGGCTTTGGCTACCACCCTAAACCTTAAACCCTAAGCCCTAAAGCCCTAAACCTAAACCCCGAAACCTACGCCCCAACACTAGTTTTTACACCTTGAAACTAGATGAATGGGGGCTGGGGCCAGCCCAAGTCGCACACTAAAAAGCCCCAACGCCTACATGAGAACCCCCAAGCATTCCCTTCCTTTCCCCCGCTCTCAACACACCCCAAAGCTCCAAGCCCAGATGCAAGCTGGGCGGGCTTAGAGGAATCACCCCCAAACCCTGAGCCTGTGAAGCCTAAGCCCACCCTGCACTGAGCCCCCACAATCCGCCAACGCTCCCTAAACTCCGTTTAGCAAAGGGCGCCAGCAACACATCCCTCGAACGCCAGGCTGAGCCCCCGTTTCAGATTCAAGCGCGGAAGTTCTTGAAAAAGTACTTGGCGACTTTGGGGGTTGGCGGGCGGGGGAGGTTTGGGTGAGGTGGGACCTGAGGATGCGCTATAGATGTTCCCCTATCGGTTTCGAAGGGTCCGTTTTGGAAGATTTTTCGGAAGGTTTACCTAGTCAAGGAAAAGGCCAATGACAGAAGCCCAGAAGCCCTACAAGCATCTGAAACACTAAGCCGGGATTGGGGATGGGGCTTCAGACCTCCACCTCAAATCCGTTGTGGAAACCGAGAGAGACGGAGAGAGGGAGAGAACGGGCGCGCGGGAGAGAGAGAGAGAGAGAGAGGGAGAGCAAGGAGGGAGAGAGGAAAAAATCACGAAAGACGGAAAGAAGACAGTAGAGCTAAAGATATGAATAAGCGCATGGGCTCCCTCAATCCTGTGAGCCCTAACTAAGCCTCAAGCACACACCGATCTTCTTGCATGGGTCCTCTTGGGAGAAGCCAAAGAACGCTTAAACTCTAATCCCGAAGCTGAAATCCCTAAACCGCAGGCCCCGTCTCGACCAAAGTTGAGAAGAGCCCGCGAAACGAGTAAGCGATCCTCTACACATGCCAGGATTGAGGGGGCTTCTGAGGCTACAAGGTTTAGGTGGGAGGCGGGGAAACCCTAAACCCCAAACCCCACACCCTAATTGAGCTGGCTTGGGGCTTCGAGGGGTGGCCCGCGCAGACATTTTTGGCTGGGGAAGCGGTGCGTGACACCCTCAGCGTTTGTAATCACGGCCGCGACCTGAGCCTTGATTCACATGGAGGTTTCCGGAAAAAGGAGGTACCCTTCTTGGGGGTCCCTCTAAGGGGATTCGGTCTAAAAGGGGTACCCCTATTTTGGGAAAATGCCCATGTAAGGGCCTTGGTCGATGACCCTTCTTCGGGCGTCCTTCAGCGCATACCGTTGCACTCCTCAAACACCAAGCCCAGGCGTTCTTCAGCATCTGCAGCCTTCTGCCAGAAAGTATGGGCGACAGCCGGCTCCTCAACTCTCCAGCTTTTTTCCGGGGCAGCTTGCACTTACTGCTGGTTAGCAGGGAATGGGGGAAGTATAGGGCCCCAAAATTTTTCCCCTTTAAGGGATTCTACAGGGTACCTCCCCTCATTCCCTACCAACCCACCCGTAAGTTCAGTGGAAGGTGAGGGGAGGGTTTGCAACCCGAGACTTCTGAGGCTCGTCCAAGGCGTGGGTGTACGACCAGGCCAGCTCCTGGGGCTCTTTGGGAGTTTTAGGGTTTAGGGTTTAGGGTTTAGGGAGGTTTGGGAGTCTTTTTGGTTTTGGGAGGGTTGAAGCCTAAACCCTAGATCAGGAGGGGAGAGTCCCATGAAGGGCTTAGGCGGCTTAGGGCTTACTCCAACAGCCCCAAGCAGCAGGACGAGTACACGCGAAGTGGGTACGGACGCCCCTCGACTCACGACATCGTTGCCGGGTGCTCCCCCTGTCGGGGCCTCTGCTCCTTGTGTATTTTAGGTTCAGCGTTGATAAACCCGAAACCCTAAACCCTTAATCCTACTCCGATGCCCTTTCGGAAGTACATTGGGGGGGGGGGGTGGAAGGAGGGGAAAACGGTTGAGGTTTCCTGAAGTTGCACACACTGAGCCTCAGAAGCCCCCCTCCCTCTCCGATAAATATGGCCCCTGACCTCCCTGAAAGGGTTCTGAAGTGTGGGGCCCTGTGGGTTGCACAGGGTACATTCAGGGGTACATTCAGGGGTCCCCCGTTGAAGGGAGGGGCCATGTAGCGACCCCAAGAAGCCCTACGCCTCGCAGCATCTTACAACCCCCCATGATACGTCTACTTAAAGCGTACTTGGGTTATAAGTAGCCGCCCCCGCCCCCCCCTAGAAACTTCAACCCGACAAGCTGCCCTACATCGAAGACGCAGCCGAAGTGACAAGCCTCCAGCGCATGGGTTTGGGGGCCTTCCGGGGCCATTTGGGACTTTAGGGGCGTTCAGGGGTTCTGGGGTCCCGGGCTTGGGATTTTTGGGCTTAGGGCTTCCAGGTTGAGGGGTTTAAAATTTTGGGTTTCGGGTTTAGGGTGTAGGGTTTAGGGTTTAGGGCTTAGGGCTCAAAAACTCTTGCGCATCAGCCCGAGGGAGTCAAGACTCCATCGACGACACAACTCCGATGTGGCGGCCGGCCTGCGATTCCGACACGGTGACCCCCGCTGCAGACTGGGAATCTGGGTTGTGCCTTGGGATAGTTGTTACTGGTTACTATCCCTTCTTTCCTTATAAGGGAGGGGGTCTATTCATAAAGACTTTGCAATTTTTTTAGTTTCTTGTGAACCCGATTCATGATTAATTCACAAAGGGTTTTTAAGCACAACTCAGAATCTGGGCAAGCCCTTAAGCTTGGTAGCCCAGTGGTACCCCTTTTCCCTTTTTGTGTTTCAGGGCGCCCTTCTAAAGTAACCAACCCTGATCCGCCTTTCCTCTAAGTCTTAACAAAGAGGGGGTGACCTTGTGTTCCTAGGTTGCTAGTCGCAGGCGATTCTCATGCTTCGGGTTGAGGTCTAGGGCTTTGGGACTAGGCCCCTGGGCAACTGTTGACGGCCTGCAAGAGTTTGGGGAGTTTTGAGGGCCACCTTTTAGGGTGTGTATAGGGCCCTAAACCCTAAACCCGAAACCCTAAACCCTAAACCCTATATATTCCCTTAAAGCCTAAATTCTGAATCTACACGTCCGGGGTCCCCGCCTTACAGAAGGAGCCGTCCCCAAAAGCAAACCAGGATCCCCAGGATGCCTTCAGGGATGCTCCCAGAATGTCCGGGCCCTAAACCCTGAACCCTGAGACCCTAAACCCTAAACCCCAAACCCTAAACCCTGAACCCTAAACCCTAAACCCTGAACCCCCAAACCCTCAGCGCCCCGGGCGGGCGGCTGGACTCTCTGCCTCCCCTCCCCTGCACGCATATGGGCTCAGAGGTCGGCTGGGCCCCCCATTTAGGGTTTAGGGTTTTAGGGTTAGGGTTTAGGGTTTAGGGTTTAGGGTTTAGGGTTTAGGGTTTAGGGTTTATAGGGCTCACGAGTTCCCAGAGAAGGGGCCGCGTTCGCCGGCTCACCAGTCCCATCAGCCTACACCCCAAGCTAGGCCCGAAACCCCAAACGACCATCCCTGGGCAACACCACGGTGGTTTTGTTCTACATCAAGTAAGGGCACCCCGGTCATATTGCAGCTGCAGGGGTTGGTTTGGGGTTTAGGGTTTAGGGTTGAGGGTTGAGGGTTGAGAGTTTAGGGTTTAGGGTCTAGGGCCCCTCATATATCCCACAAGAGAGCCATGGCCGACCTGTGGCAGCTGTCCGGTCCGCCAGGCGGAGAGATCTTGCAGTTTCTGGAGTTCAGGGTTTAGGGTTTAGGGTTTAGGGTTTAGGGTTTAGGATCCATAAGGACTCATAAGGGTTCATCAAGCCTCATAAGGGTTCATAAAAACTCATATGGTCTCAACAGGGCTCATAAGGGGGTTTATGAGGTCTTGGGAATTTCGGGTTCATGAGGTCTTCGGAATATGGGGTTCTTTAGGTGGAGAAGTTTCCAGAACGGATTCAGATCCTCTGTTTAGGGCTCAGCGTTGAGGATCCTTTGCGTTTAGGGTTGAGGGTTTAGTCTTTAGGGTGTGACATGAAAGCAACCCATGATACCAGTAACAATGACGCCATCCATGCCATTGCAGGATGTTGGGCGACTGAAGCCGAGCCTCAGTGGAATGTGCGCCTTGGAGGCATTGTGTGACTGCGGTGCTTCACGTACAAGGCGATGGGGCTTACCTGCAACCCCAACCCTTCCCAAATCCTGTGTTTAGTAGTAGGTCACCCTAAACCCTAAACCCTAAACCCTAAACCCTAAACCCTAAACCCTAAACCCTAAACCCTAAACCCCATAACACCGGGCACGTACTTGGGTCCTCGATGCCATCCTGGCTTCCACTGAATGTAGGGCGTGCAGGGATACCTTAAGAGTCCACCCCAGACCCTGCAAACCAACAACCCGCTCCCCCTGTCCCAACCAAAACTTGCAACTATCCCTTAAATCGTAAACCCTTTCAATCCTGAATTCTTAAACCCTTTCAATCCTGAGTTCTTAAACCCTTTCAATCCTGAGTTCTTAAACCTTCTCAATCCGGAGTTCTTAAACCCTTGCAATCCTGAGTTCTTAAACCTTCTCAATCCTGAGTTCTAAAATTGAACCTTAAAACCCAAAACCCTAAACCCAAAACCCTAAACCCTAAACCCTAAACCCTAAACCCTTTCAATCCCTGAAGCAGCACGTCAGGCCAGCAGCACACAAGGGTCCGAGAGCCGGGCGTCGGTCAGGCCTTGCTTTGGGGCTTTAGAGCTTTAGGGCTTGAGGGTTCAGGGTTTAGGGTTTAGGGCTTGAGGGTTTAGGGTTTAGGGCTTGAGGGTTTAGGGTTTAGGGTTTAGGGCTTGAGGGTTTAGGGTTTAGGGTTTAGGGTTTAGGGTTCTTTTTTCAATCTTTCAGTATGTACACAGGCTTTCGATTCATAGGTTTTTCGGATGTTAGGCGGTTTAGACCAGAGGAGGATACTCCCGGAAACGACAGGGGCGGCCCGTCTTGGGAGGGGCCCGCGCCGGTCTCGGGTTTGGGATTCAGTGTTCGGGTCTTCAGAGCGTGAAGGCGAAGCATCAGCTCTGACTTCGCAAAGCCCATGGACAGGGGGGCCTGGGGGCCTTCCCAAGAACCGTTTAGGAAGCTCTATGTACCTTTCTCAACATCAATGACTTGTTTGTTGTGTGAGCTTTGGCTGGCATGCGCGATGCAGTCGTAGTTTAGTGCGAAATGTACCTTTAAACGGGTAACCAGGGCTGTGCATCGCCTTTTTAAGTGTATGGATCAGGATTGCAAGCCGACTAGAACTCAAAGGGCCCTTAGCGCCTTAAGTTGCCCGTGGCATCATTGTCAGCGGCCACTTGCTACCGACATCTTTCTATTGCCACTATCGATTGGGACCCCCTCAGTGGTTAGGCTGATGCTTATCAACCTTGTAGGACCGCCAACCTGATGAGCGGCCAGACAGTTCTAAATACCACATGTTGAATGTGGAGGTACTCGACGTGCACCTAAACCCTACCCCCTTGAACCCTACAGAGCCTACAGCATCCGAGCAGGCTCGCTAGAGAGCCGCGGAACTGGAAGCGCCACAAAGAAGCGTGGCGCCTCAGTGCCGGGTACAGATTCAAATCGCACTGACACTGCGGCCGTCCGTACCACATTTTGTGACCACTTTGCCAAGGCAGAACGCGCCCTCCCCATCCTTAACACGAGACTCTTGATAGCAAAGAGGAGGCCCAAAGGGAGGCCTTTTGGGGGAGGGTGGGGGAGGGGGTACAAAGTTTAGAGTAACCCGGGCTGGGATGATGCTCTGCACTGCCAACAACAAGTAGACTCTTGAGGCCTTCTTCCCTCCCCCCCCCCTAAATAACGAACGGCAAAGATGGGCCACTTGCTGTTTCTGAGTCGGGAATGAGGCCATGAGGTACCCTGTGGAATCCCTGAAAGGGTATGTTTGAGGGGGTATAAGATACCTACCTCCCTACTAAGAGCCAGTAGGAAAGTTTAGCCCCATTTGCTTCGACCCGCGCAGTGCAGGAGCTTGTGGGTAGAGAATGGCTGGATCGCCACTCTGATTTCACGTGTCGCTTTCTAGGGATTCCAGGGTTTTGGGGTTTAGTATTTAGGGTTTAGGGCCTTAGGGTTTTGGGGTTTTGGGGGTTAGGGTTTAGGTTTTAGGGTTTAGCAATCGGTGCCCCGTTGGGGTGAGGGTGCTGACACAGCCAAGGAAGCTGTGGAGGAGGGCCTTCAAAAAGGAGGCTTGGATCCTCAGAATACTATTCGTTGACTTGTTAAGCCCAAGAACCCTAAGCCCTAAGCCCCTAGAAACCCTTAGAGCTAGAAGCATAAACCCAATAGCCCCCCAACCCTCATACCCTGCAAACCCCCCCCCCCCCTAGAAGCCATAGAACAAGAAGCATAACCTAAACCCTGCCCTAAAGAAGGGTCCACGTACCTGAATAGGGAATACTTGGGCCATGAAGTACTTCCTATGTAGGGACTTTGGACCCCAAGTATACGTATACTATTGAGGTCCATGGACCCTCAGGGCTACCCTAATACCCTCCGACCCTCAAACCCGGAGTCCCTGCAACCTGCAGATCGGCCCGGCACGAGCTTGTCCTCTTTTCGCCGTAGGGTTTCGGGTTTAGGGTTTAGGGTTTAGGGTTTAGGGTTTAGGGTTTAGGGATTAGGGATTAGGGTTTAACATGAGATGGTGCTCGGTCAAACGAACGAAGGTCGGGACTCGGTGCCCCCGGCTTTCTCTCGTTGATATAAACAGCCGCCCAGGTACAGATGGGGGGTTTCACAAAGCAGGGTCCCTGATGCATCCCGAGCCCTTTCTCTGAAGCGCCCAGACTGGCGTGCGATATCTCTACATGCAGCAGCCCTAAACCCTAAACCCCAAACCCTAAACCCAAAACCCCAAACCCTAAACCCTAAACCCTAGCTCCCAAAGCCGAAGGCATCGCCGATGACGACCTTGTTCACATCCGGATGCAGAGGCGACCGGCTGCAGGGTTAAGATTTGCGCGACCAAACCAAAAACAAAACCGAGCCACACCTTTGCAAGGGAACGCGGCCGAGCCACACCTTTGCAGGGAAAAACTCCGCCGGGGTTTAGGGGTTTATGGCCTTTATGGGTTGAGGAAGGTTTTCACCGATGTGTTGCGGGGGATGTCATGGATGGGGGACTTGTGGTTGCATGTGCAGGCAATGGAGCCCCTGTTCTGAGTTTCCTTGACCTGTGCTCCACGCACATGCACAGCAACCCACCGTGAGAGCCTTCTTTTTTTCCTAATGCTACCTGTGCTACATTCAATCCCGGCTTTCTTGATCAGAGTGAGGGGAGGGGGGAACTCCCAACGCTCTTGAAGCCTACACCCGAAACCCCAAGCCGGCAGGTATTGGACTCTTCCCCATAAAGCGCCTGGGCCAACACTAGCGAGTGATGTGGGTGCACGTTCTTCACTTCAGGGATGATGCCCTTGAGGTTTTTGGACAAGAACTCAAGGGCCAGAGATTGATATCAAGGACATCCATTTGCTAGAAAGCACAATTGCGAATGTAGTGACTTTGCATGGACC